GTGTGTGTGTGTGTGTGTGTGTGTGTGTGTGTGTGTGTGTGTGTTTGCACGCTGTGTGAACATGAGACACATTAACTTTGTCTAAATCAATCAGCTCAGTAGAAGCTGTGATTGGATCGATTCAGAAACACACACACACACATTCATGAACACAATCCAATCCCCGCCTTGTGACACAGCTGACCACATTTCATTGACATCCAGGATAAGTTTACTTTCTGTTACTTAAAAACTCCACGATGGTCGCCTCTTTAGACTCTATTGTTCCTCCTTCTGTAAAAGAGTGAAACTTCCGTCGTCAGCTGCAAAGACACGAAACAAATCGTCTCYCTTTTTGACTTGTTGTCCTGCTCCTCCTCAGCCGGTGGTAAAGCTCATCGAGGAGGCCAGCTTGAGGGGTCTGAAGGAGGTGCGCTTCATCACGCTGCAGAACCAGTATATCCTCAACATCAAGGAGGGCTTCCAGCAGAATGCCGTCTTCGGCTTCCGGCGGCAGATCAAGAAGAGGCCCATGTTCATGTCATCTGTGATGCTCACGCCGCACCTACAGTATGTATCTATGCTCACGCTTGGTCTAATTATACCAGTTTGTGACCAGGCAACACTGGTCCTGATGAGCTTTAGTCATGGTGGATGCTGGGGGTTGATTGAAAGCTTGGGATCCAGGCTAAAATGAATTCAAGTGGCTTTAAGGTGAGGAATTTCTTGTGAAAGAGTGGCCACAATAATATTGCAGTGTGTAGCTTTAGATCTATGTTTTTGTAATGTTAAAAACACTTGAAAAAAATCGGTGTTTTATGCTCATTAACCCAATGAGTATAAGAAAAGGTTGCAAGCAGGAAGCATTTCATCCAACTAAAAGTCATCAGCTTTAACAATTTCATTGGTTTTGAAGCTTATTTTTATTTAGTCACTTTTTGCAAGCCATACAAAAGGATCAGATGAACAACTGAGTTTGCAAACTGAAGATAACAGCCATTTTAAGGGTGTTGGGGTTTAAAATATATGTTAATTAAAAGTGCGTGAACTTATCTTCACTTAAAAGATAAAACTTAATTACTTAATCGGGAAGCTTCCAGTTTCTAAACTTTTCTTCAGTTTCCAAGCGCCAATATTATTTATCACTTGGGTTTTGTCAAAAAGCATTTCGCATTTGCGGTTTGAAGCAGAGAGAAGTTATCTATTTAAGCCTAAACGCCCGGCAGCACTGCTGTGTAACTCTTATTGAAGGTTGGCTCCTCGATGTGTAACACTCTGTCTCCTCACAGCTCCCTGTGTTCCCCGGGCGTCCTGACTTTGTGTTTATAGACGCTCAGGCACACAGAGGCCGGTACACAATGCCAATGTCACAGTCAGGGCTGAATACTCAAAAGGCTCGGAGCTCCACATCCATTTTTAATCCAGTCTGGTACCACTGCACACGCTGGCTGCCTGAAATGAACTGGAAACTTTTAGATATTAACGTTTATCCCAGGTCAGGTTTTTGGCAAATSGAGTAGGGTCACTGGGACACGGATGGAAAATGGGATCAAATGGAACCAGATGAGAGAGATGACAAAAAGGAGGGGGGAGCCAACCATTCTGTGGAATCAGTTTGTTTCTCATTTTTGTGTGAAAACTGATCCCCTCTTCCATAAAAGTGTTTTGAGATCTCTTCTGCTTATTTATGCTACCTTTAGCTTTTAACTAGTATTTTGCTACTTTTAGCTTATAGCTAGCCTCCTGATATTATCTTCTAGCAAACCTATTACTACGTTTAGCTTTTAGCTAAGCTTTTGCTGCATTTTGCTTTAAAAAATGACTCTGCTACTTTTAGATTTTCTTTTGCTATTTTTAATGAGTACTTTTAGATTATAGCTAGCTTTCTGAAGCTTTTTTCATCAACCTAGCCTTTTACTACATTTAGCTTTTAGCTAAGCTTTTGCTTTATTCAGCTTTTAAAGACTTGCTATTTTTAGATTTTCTTTTGCTATATGTAGCCTGTACTTTCAGCTTATAGCTATCTTTCTGATTCATTTATCTTCTGGATAGTCTTTTGCTACTTTTGGCTTTTAGCTAGTCTTTTGCTACTTTTAGCATTTAGATAGCCTTTTGCTACTTTTTGCTTTTAACAACACTTGCACCTTAAAGCTTTTAGCTAGTGTTCTGCTTCTTTTAGGTTCAACAACCCAGTTTCTACTTCTTAAGCAATTTTCATTCAGCGCTCGGCTTCTCTAATTGAATCTGAAGTTTCGCCAACTTCCTGTCTTCACACAACCTTGACTGTACKCTCCTCACAGTCTTCTTTTCAGAACAAGTGATCGCTGATTGAAAACAAGTGGAGTCATTTCACCACATTTAGCTGATTTATGTCTCACTTCTTGTACCAGGCAGGCTCTGTAGCTTAATGTGTCCTGCCAGCTTTCTCACACAGAGTGAACTCTAGAACAAGCCGTTCCCACTCGGTCAAGAGACACAAAGAACAGGAGATGGAGGAAAGTGATGATGGGAGGTAATTTAGCTGGGTGAAGCAATGCTAGGCCAGACAGTCAGAAAGGAAAATGCAACTGGAATGGTTTCCAGACCAGGAGCTCAAGCTGTTGCTAAGGGAAAGAGTGTGACACATGACAGTGGGGGGGCTGGAGTTTGGATTGAAGGGCTTCGATCATCTCTGCCACAAAAAGACGTTTACTGGACCACAACTAACTGTTGAACTCAGTAACCTCTCTTTCCCTTCGTCATCTCGTCTTCCTGATTGATGTTATTTTCAGCTGCCTCCCTCCTTCCCTCTCCTGCTATCTATCCTAATCTCTTTCCCTAACTCTCTATCATGTCCAACTCCGTCACTCTTTTGTTATCAGTTCCTTTTCGTTTCACACTTGCTTTCTGCAGCAGGCTGTCTGTGATCTCCTCCAAGCTCACAGGGAATAGAGACATCAAGTGTGTGTGTGTGTGTGTGTGTGTGTGTGTGTGTGTAGGTGCTAAGACCGGACAGACAAGATAAGAGATGGGGAGAGAATAACTGTCACACCAACTCCATGCCTCTCGATAACACACACACATTCTGATAGATGATAGAGCTAACAGCATTTACACTTAGAGGGTGATAACTTGACAGGAAAACTACTGTTACCAACTCAAATGCCAGACACGCTGAAGCCTTTTTTGTCACATCTGTGACAGCTCCACAATTGGCACTTTTTATTTCTCCACCTCAATCCTATTCTTGCTCCTGTCCCCCTCCCCTCTTAGCCCCCGCACCGCCACCTCCCCCCGGTTGTCCCGTTTTGTCGTCTGGATTTGATTCGTGTCGTTTYGTTCGGTGGCTTGACGGCTGATGTGGAGCTGCGCCGCCCCGCAGCGCAGGGTCTGTCACGGCTGACATGTTGCTGCAATCCGATTTTAAACGTGCAGACGTGTGGGCTCGTCCCGGCAGACGGCGGGCTTTTGTTCCAGGGCCGGGGACACGGTCCTGATTTGAAACAAGGTGATGCAGAAAGGCGGAGGTTGTACAGTTTCCCAGATGGTTGTAGGTAGCATGTGTTCATCCTCACCGTGCATTTAGTCCTTCTCTTGCTTTAAAAGCACGGTTCTCTGCAGAGCTGTTCTTCACCCGCTTTTAGCAGCAAAGCGTAAAAGAGAAAAGTCCCAGCAGAAGCTTTTCTTTTTTTTTTTTATGAAATGCAGTAACGTTTCATCACAAAGAGCTTCTTGCTCTAAGTAATCATCCCAGATACAGCCTCAGTCGTTCTGGGTATTAAAGCTCCAAGTTCGCAAGTTTGCAAAGAATTATGTGTGATGTGTCATGTGTGGGTTTAGGAATTAGTTTGAAGGATTCACGTGTCTATTTTAGATTAGAATTGTATTTCCCCTGTGCAGCACAATGTTTCATAAAGAGTTGAACAAATCTCTGTTTTTAGTCTACAGATCCACACAAAAAGTGTATTTATAAAGTTGAAATGACAGATAACCGTGATTTATCTTTACCATGACAAACTGAGAACCCAGTTTGATCTGAACAAGTTGTTATTCTGATCACTCTTTACCGATATGAGTCACAGATCGAATGTTTCATTCATTTTTACATTATTGCGTTTGGATTCATTCAAAAGCCTTAAAGGGGACATATCATCCAGGTTTTTAGCTGTTTGTCTGCTTTAATGGCATCTATGTTTGTTAGATGTTGCTCCTAAAGATTTGTATCACTCTTTCTGCAGACTAAAGCAGCAGTTTGTGTCACAAAATGCTGGAAAAACCTCTGTGTGATTTACGTGTTTACTTCTCTTCATAATGTCGATACAATCATCAAATACACATAGTTGAATTTACGTATTTCTCACTCTGATCGACTTTTTTCAGGTTCAGATGGTAAAGAAATACGTTTTAAACAGGTTTGTAATTAAAGTTCTTTGCCTTTTTCTTTTTTCAGAACCTTGGGTGGCCTCTCCTCCTCCTCCTCATCTTCCACTTCGGTCTCCACGTCCTTGGACGCCTCACAGCCGCTGTCGCCAACCACCGCCAACCCTCCCAGCCTCTTTCCAGAAACGTGGCTGCYGATGGCGACGAGCCAGGACTTCCTGCGGGTGCCCGTGTCCCGTGAAGACCGCAGCTACCGCACGGTGCACAGCCTGTTCCACAAGACGGTGTCCGAAACCAAGTTCAGGATCATCAAGATCCAACGTGTGCAAAACCCCTTCCTCTGGGAGAAATACAAGAGGTCAGAGCACGCAGCGAAATTTCCATAGATTTGAACCAGGTTATTGTTCGCACGAGTCCCTCTTTCCTGTACAGGTCGTTGAGCTAGTCGCTGGCAGCTGTGATGTATTCACGTCTTTTGCATGCACTTTTTTTTAATTTGCCTGATGTGTGGTTGAGCTGTGGCTTTCAACCATATTTTTCTGGTTTTTGTCATTAAACAACTGACATGACCACTTGTTACAGAATCCCAACTCAAACATCATATGCAGAATTTATTATTGTATTTTTTTTTTTACTGTTAGGAAATCTGACCCACTCAAAAGCAACAATTATAAACACTGATCTCTATCAGGCCATTCAGACCTGCCATTAAACATCCATCTTTGATGATTTGACTGTAAGTGGACAGCTCTGATCCAAACAACGTTTTTTTTTTTTTGCGATCGTTAATCAACTTCGAAAACAAATCAGAACAAATGTTGAACTAAAGACTCTCATCATGCAGCATCTTTTAATCCACACTGTACTCTCTACTAAAATTCCACAAATTCACTTATGTTTTTATTGAGAATTATTGTGATGATTAAAAACTGTTATCCCTAAAAGACAAAACATTCATTAAAGCCCTATCTTCATAGTACACCCTGGGATGGCTGTTTCATTATGTTTAGTTTGGACCTGAWGCTGACGTTTTTTCTTCTTTTTACCCCAAGTCCAGATCTAAATTCAGGTAAAAACATCTGTGTGTGTGAGGAGGGTCATATCAGTTCTGTAGATAGTCCTCAAGCATTGTGTTCAGATTATCACAGCTAAGGACCAAGTCTGAACAGGACCAAATGATGCTAATATAGTCTGTCTTGCTCTGTAAAGCTGTGCAAACTATAGACTAACATGGACCCAGACTTAGTTTAAAATATCTTTTTTAAACACAGGGTTTTCTGGAGCTTTGAAAACCATTTAAAAATAGGTTGTATAGCTCCAGAAGAAGCTACAAGTATTCATGTAAAACAACAGATAAGTTAAACTTCCTGCTGTTCCTCAGATATGCTCTTTGAAAAMTGTGCATGCAGTTTGTGTGTTCCGCTACACAAACTGTTTGTGTTGGGGTATGCCGTAAGCGTCACGTACACAACACGTACATGCTTTCTGTTGCATCAGGTGGGGAAGTGCTGGAAAACGACAAAGAAACTCCAAGCTAAATACCAGTAGATGCAAAATGGGGGCAAATAGAACAAACGAAACCAAACAAAAAAAAGGCCAAATGGTGCCAGCTGTGTGGGTCTTCGTGAGAATGAGTTCACGGTKGTGTGTGAACGCTGCAGATGGAGCGATGTTTGGTGACGGTGATGTTCCTGTTGTGAACGCAGCAGGCTAACCGCTTAGTTGTGACAGTTAAAGCCTCGCACACSGACCGGCACCACACGGTTTCACAATGACTCCACGGTGTGTGTTTTTTGTGTGTGCGTGGGTGTCTTTCACTGCTTCTGAAAGTGATGTCCCCTCTTTCGTATTGAGGTTTRTTTGTTTTTTTTATTTTTATTCCTTTTCCCACACTCTTGGTTACATGACAGCAAAACCATAAACTCCTGTTTGCATGTTTTTGCCRCTCATTTGCATGCGAGCTGTGAAGGGGAGTGGAATTAAAATCGACGAGCAGGAAATTAAAAGCGTGTGAGCGAGTGGGAGCGTATGTGCGGTGTCATGTTAAGAGSCTGCGGGTTCACACGCAGGTCACTACACCTGTGACACTAAACGMTTCCTCCCGTCTGTGCTGAGACGCRTTAACGCTGCGCAGACGGCCGTTAAGAGCAGCGCGCAGCTTTTAGGCTCGGGTCCTTGTTTTTAATCCCGTGTGTCTGCTCCCTACAGGAAGAAGGAGTACATGTCGCGCCGCCTGTCGGAGATGGACCGCCTCCTGAGCGAGCGACACCTCTTCCACGGCACCTCGGCCGACGTGGTCGACGGCATCTGCAAGCACAACTTCGACCCCAGGGTTTGCGGCAAGCACGCCACCATGTTCGGCCAGGGCTCCTACTTCGCCCGCAAGGCCGTCTACTCCCACAATTTCTCCAAGCGCTCGCCCAAAGGAGTCCACTGCATGTTCTTGGCCAAAGTCCTCACTGGCAGGTGTGTAGAGATTTTATGTTGTTTTTCAAGCCGATGATAAAAGCGGTTTAAAAAAAACAAAAGGCRCTAAGCCAGGGGACACGATGACCTCGTTTTTAAAAGCAGCACTTTTTTATTACTAGTGACGCTTCATTGTTTGAGTCTCTCTTGTGCCAGTTGGGTTCCTCAGCCTGTCAAACACATTTTGCTTTGAAGGGAGCTGGTTAGATCATATTTTACTGAACTCTAAATCAGAGCCTCATGTGTCCCAGTTTTAGTGGGGTTTTCACACTTTAGCCTACTTGACGCAGAGTTTGGTGTGTTTGACAACTACCTTCCCTTCTTTGCGTACATCTTCACAAACAACTCTTCTTTTCAATCCCATCTTCCCCTTTCTGGCCCACGTGCCAAGCACTTGCAGATGAAAYTTACAGAACCCATCAGTGGTGATTTGGATCATGAAAATCTTGAGGTTTTTTTTCCATAAACCATCTTTTCAGCCATGCTGCGCTGCTCCTGTCCCTTCAGACAAAGTCAAATCTGCAGCCTGACATGTAAAACAGCTGATTTGGCTGGACCCATCGTACAGCAGCACCTTTTTGTTATGCTGGAGCAGATGGTCCGTGGTGYACCCGGAGGATTGGAAGGTGCTTTGGAAAGCCCCCCTCCCCTCCCCTAATCACACAGAGTGACTCTAAACTTGGGTCTAATCTTTTCCATAGAGCTGCTTTCAGACTGAGCTGGGTTTTAAACTCGGCTCTGCCTTTGTTTGCAGCTGACACTGTTCTTATTTTAATATGCTTTATTTAKGACTCATGAGACCCCGGCACAAAGATTGATGGACGACAGCTCTTTAGTGTTTGACATAAATATTTAAAACAGAAACGACTAAGCTACGGCTCACTGGTTCATTTCATACGTATACATTGGGTCCGTGTACTCGGAGCTGATGATTTTATTATTCAAGCTTTCCTGGAACACCTTGAAATGGTGTAATGATTAATATTACAAGGTTTATCTTTAAGGTGTCGAAGAAGTAAAGTGTCAAACATTAGTTTCTTTATGGACAGTGCTGACCTTTAGAAATGAAGGCAGCCAGTGGCCGATTAACTTAGCTGATTTTTGTCGTTGTCGTTGTTGTTGTTTTCTTATAAACACATAAACTAGAGAATATTCATTTCTTGTGAAAATGCAGTGTGAAAGCTTAATGCTGAAAGATGTTTGCTTAATAGCTGAAAAAGCTGAAACTAGCCTAAATTAGCTAAACAAACAATAGCTGAAATTGGCACAAATGAAGAGAATGAGCACATATTTGCTGAATTAAGCAGTGACAAGCTGAAATTATCACAAAAATATGAATTTAGCTGAAAAAGCTCAAATTAGCTAAAATTCAGAAAACAGCTGGATAAAGCTGACATGATCAGTAAACATCTGAAAAAAGCACAAAAARGCACAAAAAGTTGAAATCAGCAAAATAGAAGAAAATGTCAGAATATTTAAAAAGCAGAAAAATGCTAAAAGTAGCTAAATAAAAGCCGAAGGAAGCCGTAAAGATTTATGTACAGTTAAGATTTAATTTTCAGTGAGAAAAATATGGCTTAAAATCTAAATATCTCACAAAGTGTGAATTGCTGAAGTTCCAAAATTCATAGCAGGACTGTCCTGAAGGAACGGAACATTTGATATATAAATTGYAAAAATAGCACAAAAATTGCAGAATGAGGTACATGCCGAAAAATGTACGGAGGAAAATGGGTGTCAGTTGTGTGCTTATAAAGGCTTCCTAAAAAGTAACAGCTGAGCTACATTACTATATACTAAATAAAAAGTGAAAAGTTATTGATGAATTTTGAAAATACTTTTAGACAGTGTGGTGTGATAGTCAGAACATCTCAGCTTGTTCTGCAGTAAAGCCTAGATTCTAGGTGATTAAAAAAGAAAAACAAGCAGCAGTTTCTGCCTCCGTTACTGAGCAATCTGCTGCTCATATCTACAGTTAAAAACCTGCCAGGCCACTTAGGGATGATGTCATCAAGATAGAAACTTTAGATGGAATTTGATCTGGATGTTATCTAGTTTGTGTTGGTATTTTTTTTCTTTTTAATCTTCTGCAATACTGATATTATACACTGTGATATTACAATATTCAGATTTTTTTAAATTAATCATGCAAGTAGGACCCATGAACGGTAAACCCATGTAATTAAKGTTGAGTCATTAGTCACTTGAAGTCATTATCCTTTTAAAGTGCCTATGACATCAATTTTTGTGATAAATATGAAAGCATTTTTGGAAAGATAACATTGACAACATATTGCAAAAGAAGTTTTATGACACAGAGATGAACTGTTGTTGMGATATTTGCGTGTGAAGTAACAGGGAATGATGTCAAAGAGGAATGTCTGCATGTTGACAGCATTGTGCTACAATAACACAGACTGTAGGGAAGAATCTGGTGTTTCTTTAGATTATTTTGAGTCTATCAGAGAGATGAAGAAGACTCAGAGTTCAAATAACATTTTTTTTAAATAAACAAAGACAGAAAAGTTCCTTTGATGTCACTTCCTGTTTCATTTTGGCTGATTCAAGTTGAAAATAAAATGTGCCAGTTCTGTGATAAAATGGGTGAAATCATGTGTTTTATGTCAAGTTTCCTATGTATAAAGTTCTTTTTGACTTTTTGCATGTCACAGTACTTTTTAAGATTTGTCGGTATTGTGAAAAATAAATGTACCTGCTGGAAGTGCACAACCATCACAGGAAGTGCTCTGTGAAAATAACATGGTGCCAGGTGTAGACAAACTTTACTTTTAATTAAAGCCCACATTTTTGGCCACTGGTCATGAATTAAAAACTGGAAAAGCAAAAATGAATCTGTTTAATCAGCTGACCCCTCAAATGTTTGAAAATGTCTTTTAAGCAGCGTTATCTCCTCGAGTCTGAAATGTTTGGTGTTCAGTCTCTGTCCCAGCAGCCTGGTTAACACGTCCTCTCTGTTGTGTTTGCACAGGTTTACCGTAGGAAATCCCTCCATGCGACGACCTCCGCCCATCAACCCCCGAGACCCCTCTAGTGACCTTTTTGACTCCTGTGTAGACAACTGGGTGGACCCTCAGATCTATGTCATCTTCAACGATGACCAGAGCTACCCGTACTTTATCATTCACTACGAGGAGGTACCCAACACGGTCGCCATATGAGTGCCGCATCAGAACCAGAACCTGGTGTTAAGGATTTGACAAAAGAAAAAAAAGAAAAAACAAAAGGAAAAAAACGCTCCTCCGTTCAGTCTGTCTGCACACAGTCGGGGGGTTAACGGAGTGGAGTTTGGTCGAATACAAAAAAGGACAAATTAAGACCTGAGTTGGAAACGGCTCCACTGGAATAACTTCACTCATGTTGTACTTGAAGCAGGTGAAATCAGACCATAAAAACAGTGATCCAGCTCTGTGGTTGACTGGATCCTAAAAGACCAGATTCAACTGGACACAACTGGATTAGCAGAGGACAGAACCCAGTTTTTTATTTTGGCTTTTAGAGGTTGATGGAATGAGTGGACTTGCTTAATTTTAACTGGTTTGAGGCAGGAACCCAGTGATGTTTATCACTTCTTCTTCTTCTTCTTCTTCTTTTTTTTTTTTTTTTTTTTTTTTTTTTTTTTGGAGCAGATTCAGGAAAAAAAGCAAGCTATTCCCTTTATCCTTTAGTCTTTGTGTGACTGTACATGAACTTGTTTGCAGGGCAAACACTGTTGCAGACAGTTAGCTTCCTGCCAGTACTGTGAACGACCAGCTGGGGAAATTCTGTTAAAGACTCAGAAAGGAGACGGTCGGAAACCTCCTCAGAGTTATGTTATCACGCTGAGCCTCCAGCACAGACATGTTTTTGAACCCTGTGTGTGTGTGTGTGTGTGTGTGTGTGTGTGTGTGTGTGTGTGTGTGTGTGTGTGTGT